AAGCAAGTAAATGCATCACTAATATAAATAATATTCCATTCACATGATCAACATAATAATTATAATAAACACGTTCAACAGTGATTACTTGAATAGCATGAGTTGTTTCTATTGCAGATGTAGCCATTATTGTAATAAGTGCATGTTCTTTTATAGAAAAAGCTCCTGGATTTATTGTTATATTAAAGATCTTTTCTGGTAAAACTTTCGACATGAATTCACCCATCATATAAGCTAATAATATAATAAGACCAATATTAATATCTAATGGTGATGTACGATAAGAGAAAAATTGAGATGCAAAAGACATCAGACATGTTAAAAGAATACCAATAAATACTGAACGAAATGTTAAACATAACATTGTTGGATCATCTTTATTTGAGATATTAGCAGCAACTTCTTCATAAGGTGATTGTTCATCATCATCATTATTTGAATTATTAAGTAAGGGCTTTGTTGTGATACTCTTTAAATGTTATTCGAACAAAAAAAAAAGAAAGTGTTATCTAAGTGTTTAAGTTTTTTTACCTCATCATGATCATCAAACATTGGATTAAAATTATTCAATTCAATTGGTTTTGATAATGTATCATTCATATTTTTATATTCATCACGGTTTTTGATCATTTTTCGTGCCGCAAAGAAATGAAAATGTGTTATTCAGAGAAAGCAAAGCGTCACGTAATAGTGTTTTTTTTTCTGTATATTCATGTGGCCGATGCTTGATACCAAACGAAGCGCAACGCAACGCTAGATAACACGAAGGAAAAAAAATGTGAGTAGTAAAAGAGCCATATATGCAGTATAATTAATATTTTTTTTTCGATACAAAAAAAGTAAAGACAATTCGAGTGTGACCTATCTACTTTCTTCCAACGTTTGTACGTTTTTTTTTGGCGCTTGTTACTCGTCATTCCCAAGTATATTTCTGTAGAAGATACCGAGATTACAAAGGCTCAGAATGAACACTTCGGTTTCTAGTTTCGTTTTATTTGCTTTTAGTCGAGTAAAAGCACAAAGATCTTGGAAGTATCCTCACATAATCATATTTTTTTTCCAGACTAGAATTTTTCTGGTGAACTCTGACAAAAATTCAGCAGTCCATTATAGTTTGAAACAAAAACAAAATAGACAGCCTAAACATTTTTTAATATTAATAGGAAACCGTTTCACCTTGATGGAGCGTTCTGCGCTTGAGAAACATGCCTGATTCTTTAGTTTTATTTCAGAAACTCATTTCTAGAAAAGCCAATCTTTTTCATTGGAAATACTGCTCACCATCAGATATGTTGACTTTTATACTTATACATTCATTCTTAAAATATATGTAGTAGATACTAGATGACTCAAACCGTACGTAGAGTATAAAAAAACCAAAATTGAACAATCTGAACCTTTTGAGTAGGAAAAGGGAGACATGCATAATCGCATAGTTCACCTAACAATATTGACTAGATGGTTCGAAAGCATTAAAAGTGGATTTCATCGAGTGCTTTTGTTTTCTTTTTGCAATGTATTAAAGATTTATTTTGTGAAAAAATATCATCCAAATCCACTTTATTCGGCTTCCATCTTCAAAAATCAGCCTTGCGTCAAATACATTGAAATCATATAAAATGTTCAGCTGTAAATCATGACGATTTCGGAACATATTCAATCAATCAACGTTAAGAATAGCTCATTTGATAATCTAAAGTTCTCTCTGAGGTCTCAGTCCATGAATTCAATTTTCTTTATTTGAACGAGCACAAACTCTCCATAAATGATCATTTAGTGATAGAAGTGTTGATATACATAATAATGAAAAAGCATAATTAAGAAATCGGACACTGCAGTTTCGCACTTTCTTTCACACAACAAGAAACAATAGACAACTATGAAGCTTCTTCGAAAACTTCAAGATGGGCTATCAGAAAAACATCGCTTTTCAAATAGAAAATGGCTTAAACCATCAGAAATTTTAGTAAGAAACGAGATACCAAATAAAAATGAATGTTCAGCAATAAAATATAAGTAAATTAGTACTTTTGATCTTGTCTGAAAGATTTATTTTATTAAAATTTGCAATGTTTTGAATGTTCCAAATGTAACTTTAAATGAAACGAAAATTATGAATAAATAAAAAGTCTGTTAGTCTCATTTATTAAATATGCCAGTCGTTTTGAAGATAAGACCAGAAATTGCAAGTGAACCTATCATACAAACGCAGACAAATAGATAATAACTAAACTGTTGACCACTAGAGAGCCAAAGTAAAGCTAGTGCTGGTAAAAAATTTCCTGTTCGTTCAATACATCCAAAAATAGATTCACCCGAAAGTGGACGTATCATTGCTGTACTTAAACCCCAGACAAATGCCCAGCAATGAATCAAAGGGTAAGAATCTGTAAATAAATATATAAAAGCAACTAGAACATCCAAAAGGCCAATCATTGGCATAAAACGACTAGAAAATAGAAAATACTGGAAAAATAGAGAAAGATTTGATAACAGTTTACCGAGCCCATTCATTACCGATACCAACTACACGAAGATACGGCATCCATCCGGGTACAAAACGAACAGCTAAACATCCATGACCAAAAAATGTTCCGAAGACAGACCAACGAAGAATTAAAGACAATACATGATCCGATAACATCATGAAAATAACAACAAAAAAAACTAAAAAAATTTACGACCGAGATAATAAAACTAAATAAAACAAATGGTTGCTAGTCAACAAAAAGTATTTATGAATAATTCAAATTTAATGTTAATTATAACTCGCTGATAAACAGACTGAAGATAATAAATAAGAATTCTTTTATAAAATCGAATGGTTACTAAAATATATTCAAGCCGTGTATGAAGAGTTCAAACTGGTGTAAGCAAAAGTCAATATTATCAGTCCATATTATACCTATATATATATAGAGAGAGAGAAGTAAATTTTCAACAGCTGTCCTCAGTTATCAATTTATTTCAAAGAAATTCTGTATTATCGATCCGAACTATTATTTACTTGAGGCACATTCAAGGTTAAGAAAAAACATAATCTCATGTCGTAGTCTCATAATGAAATTATCATTTATTTGCGACTAAAAAGATGCAGAACAATCATCAGAAAAAACACTTGTAGGCTTTCCGGTTTAGAATACTGGCTTCATGTTCCATCACTTTGGATGTACTCCTACCACATACAATCACTTTTCTCGTATCTTTACAACTGATTCTAGTGAAATTCAATTGTTTTTAGAGCCTGGAATGATTGACATGGATGGGTAGCTTAAAGAAACTGTAATAATATTTAAATGTCCAAAAAAAAATGATACGAATGTCATTATGTCTTCATATCTGTGGTGATAGCTTTATACGAATTGAGAAGTCTTTCAATCGTGTTAAATAATGGTTTCAAATAGGAAAATATCAAACTTATGAATTCTGGTAAAGAAATCATGCATCTATTGAAAGAAGCCAGACAAAATAAAGGATAAAAATGAATAAAAACCCATTGTAGTGAGCCTTCAGATTGTATGTTTTCGTGAAACTATGATAAAATTTTTTTTTTTCACAAAATAACTACTATTCATTTCAAAATATGATGTGCTTCATTGTTTTTTTTGAATATCTTTTGACAGAAATATCATAGGGATCCTAGGTTTTCATCATTTAAGAGAGAAGATTCGGCACCATCGAAATTCGATTGATGAGTAGCCAGTCAATCAGATAAGTTCTTGATGGAGATTTTTGAAAATTATATTCTGAAGCTATTGTTCTTTTGATTTATACTTATAATATATTCGATCGATAGGAAAACTTTTTCTCTTCCGATATACGCGAAATCAACATTCCTAGCTTCATCATGTTGAGTCAAATAGTATTATGTATTTATTGATTCGAAATAATGTGATACTCTCATCTCAATAGTTTTGAAACTCCATAATCAGCCTCCGTGTAACGAGGGAGTCGGCATTTCGAGTATGTTGTAGTACCATAGTGAGAGCAGTTGGAATGTAAAAAACAAATATCACCATTCGACGTTACATAGTGCATCACGTCTGCTTAGTTACTTTTACAGGTGATCACAGGTCAATTAACTAAAATCGAGAGTATCAGTAAAAGTGTTATAACTCTCGAATGGAACAAGCTAGGGATATTGACCTTGTATAGACCGAAAGAGAAATAGCTTCAGAATATTGGGTTTTTGAAAAATCTCTTCAAAGACCTCACCTAACGGGTCAAATCACAGATCGATCAAATTTCAATATACTTTGATGGTTTCGGTCGCTCTTCTCTCTTGAATGGTAAAAACTACTGATCTTTACCATGATCTTATCAAAAGTTATTTAAAAATCAGTGAATAACATCATTTTTTGAAAAATTGATTAATAGTTAGATTAAAAAGAGACCAGTTCTTTTTGTTCATTACATCAAAAATTTCAATTGATTATATATGTGATCTACAAAGTTGTTAACACTTATTTAGATTGATTTTATTTTCTTGTCTAAATTTCTTCTTTAGATTTATATCAAAAAAAAAAAAAAAAGAAGGAGTTGTGAAAGGAAAAAAAGACGAATAATTTTAAGCACAATAAATTAAAAACATTTGTAAAGAAAAAAGCACTATGAAAGCTACCCCAATAATTTAATCAGATATTTTTCAGCACATACAAACAAATAAATATATATAGAAAATAAAATATTTTAATTCGAATCTTCTCCATCAAGATCATCATCAGAATCCATATTCGAAGTTTTAGCTGAATCAGCTGTTGGTGGTCGCCGATGATCAGGACCTATACAATGAAAATTATTTTTTAATTTTATTAGTTGTTTAAAATTCGAGAACAAACTAACCTTTACCAGCTGGTGATTTCCATATTCTAACAAATAAAAAATATTTTTATATAGAAAAATCAAAGAATAATTACTTACGAATCATAAGTATATTGAGAAGCATCACCGGATGATAAATTTTGATTATGAGTTATTGATGGTCGAATTCTGAGAAAATTAAAATTATAATTTCTATTTATAATTATTGAAAAAAAGAAAGTGACATACGGATTTTGTGGAACAGTACCAACGGATGGTTTTCGCTGAACATTTGTATCGTGAATTGAAGTTAATGAATCACTATCATTATCATCATCATCATCGTTCTTATTATTCTAAATGATTTTAAATGAAAGATATGTTTATTAATTGATTTATTTTAATGTATAGGGAATAGAAAATTAAAACAGAAGTTTTCTTTTTTATATTTATGTTTCGAAAATTTGTTTCATATTCAACTTAAAACAACTGAATCTATAAAGCTCATTTACTTTTCGATCTAACTCTGCTGGGCGACCAAGAAGAAAGTTTTCAGAACATTTTGAAACATTCATAAATCGATTCAGGATAATTGTTTTGAATATGAAACTATTAAATTCAAGCAAAGTAGTAAAATTCATGTTAAGAAAAGGTCGATTCTTTCATGAATTTTCTGAACAACAGAAAAATTCGGATTTATTCTTTTGACGTGTAACTTCTATCGATTTTCGTAAGATATAAGAGTCCATTACAAAATACTTCTTCGAACTGTAGAAGTTTTTCCTTAATAATGTGTGACGTACGATCCTGTTATATATGAATCAGCTTCA